ACAGACAACCCCGTAACAATATGCGTTTTGTACTGCTGTTACACAGCACAAAACGCATAATAAGCGTTTACAATTAGCGTCTCTGGGGGGAGGGGTGGAGGGAGGGGGTGAGAAAATGAATTTTGGAGCGCCAAAACTCATTGTAATGAATCGAAAAAGAAAAGCGTTTTGCTGTGCAGAAGGCCCAAATTGTATTATGCCTGTTTTATAGGAAAACGAGTACACCACTGATGCCCCAGTATGTTTACTGCATTCTAGAAATTTTCAGGCGTGGCTCGTTTGAACCACGGTCTGAGCGATATCGCAATTAATTGGAGCGGAGGGCTTCATCATGCAAAGAAGCGAGAGGCATCAGGCTTCTGCTATGTTAATGATATTGTTATTGGAATTTTGGAATTGTTGAAGTATCATCCACGGGTGCTGTACATTGATATTGATATTCATCATGGCGACGGTGTTCAGGTTGGTGTTGGGGCAGAAAACTGCTACCGCTTTTTCTTAAAATGTATTTTCTTTTGCGCTTTTATGACTAATGTGTGGATATGGCGGGTAGCAGTTTGAGGTTGGTAGATGCTGATGACGCATGATTGCATTTACAGAAGCGACGAAAGCCCTCGTACTTCAGGTGATTTCTGGCAGCAGCGAAATAATGCTTTTTTCGCTGCCTTTGATACAGCTTTTCTCACCACTGATATTGCTGGGAGTTCCTTTCTGGGCCTCTCATTTCTAGCTTTTTTTCTTATATGCGGAAACTTGTTTAATGGTTTTTCCCGGTACTTTATTTAAATTTGATTTTTTTTCCTGGCAAAATTTTCAGGAAGCATTTTATTTGACAGATCGCGTGATGACTGTTTCGTTTCATAAATATGGTAATTATTTTTTCCCTGGGACAGGCGATATGTACGATGTTGGCCAGGATACGGGTCGTTATTTTTCTGTGAATGTTCCCATGAAGGAAGGCATGGACGATGAAAGTAATTTATTTGCCTCTACGCAACATATTTTTCTTGGACTGTACTTTTTTCTGGAAGAGAGCTATGAAAATGAAAATATCACTTCCGTCCAGCACCGATTAATGGACTGCTTTTAGGTACAGGGAAGCAAAAATTAATAAATAGAAGCGCACCAGGGCACCCGATGCGATCATGCGTTTTATGCAATTCCCTCCACTGAACGATTGACCGTTAATGATTTTCACTGCTCTGAATTTAAATTTGAAGGGTTGCACATGGGCAGGGAACAGTCCCCCCAAATTTCAGCTTCCTAGATTCCGCGGTTCCTGTGCAATACGAAACGCCTATTATCACTGGTGTGTGTGTCCGCAGCAACTTACTCGCAGCTTTCAGCTCGGGAACTACAAAAGCTAGGAAGCTGAAAATTTAGGGCAACGTTCCCCACCCACGTGTAACCCCACAGATTTAAGTCTAGCTTCCACGCGTAATGCGTATGACCCAGTGAAAGTTTTGGCAGGGAAAACACAGCGTAAAGCGCAGCAGCACTATAGATTAAGACCTCATACAGTGGTTCAAGCATAACACAGCCCACCCCAGCAATGTTGGTTGTTACTTTATACACATTGATATTTGGTACACTGGTGTGTTAAAGCGGCTCATTTGTCATAGTCCTTTGGAAGCTGTTGAAATCATTCTGTGCTTTGATGGTTTATTATTTGTTCCATCAATAATTAAACATTTGTTCGCTTCAGATTACCACTCACTGTTCAAGCCAATAGTACGAGCGGTCATTGAGTGTTACAATCCATCCGTCATTGTGTTGCAGTGTGGCGCCGATTCGTTGGGTTGCGATCGCCTTGGCTGCTTCAATCTTAGCTTTTCGGGCCACGGGTGCGTGAACATCTTCATGGTCTTGTTCTTTGAGAATTTTGCTTATTGCACTTTTACCTGCTACCGTCTTGGTTCTACAATATGGAAAATCAGTATTAGCTAGAGCAGTCTAGTTTTAAGAGTGATTTTTTTAAAAAATTTTAGAGAATGTGTAGATTTTGTGCGTAGCCTTGGTATTCCAATGCTTGTTGTTGGCGGTGGTGGTTATACGTTACGTAATGTAGCGCGTTGTTGGACATACGAAACCGCTATCTTAGTGGGCAAAAAAGATGAAATTCCTGAGGAAATTCCCAACAACACAGGTTATTTTTATGCGTTTTGTGCTGTGTAACAGCAGTACAAAACGCATATTATCACGGGGTTGTCTGTGTGTGCGTGTTTGTGTGTGCCCGCAACAACTTGTCCGCAACTTTCAACTCGGGGACCACAAAAGCTGCGAAGCTGAAAATTTAGGGGGACGTTCCTCACCCACGTGCGACCCCGCAAATTTAAATCCAATCTCCCCGTACCCGCGGGTAGCATATACGGGCAGATAAAACATAAAAGTTTGGGCAGATAAAATTATTATCATGGTAACCACGAAAGCTAGAAGGCTGAAATTTTGTGGGCATATCCCTCACCCATGTGCTACCCAGAAATTTTACATTAAGCTTTCTCCTGTAACATGTACGGCCCCATGAAAATTTTTCACAGGTATATTATTATCTCGGGAACCACAAAGTCTGCGAAGCTGAAATTTAGGGTAATGACCCCTTGCCTACGTACGACCTTGCAAATTCAAATTCAGCATTCCCGGGCTCTCGGGTATCACTTACGGCCTCGTGAAAATTTTGGCAGGCAAACTATTATCTCGGGAATCACGGAAGGATATTCAGCCTTTATTGTCTCAAATTCAGCTTTTTTTTTCGGTGCGTAAAATTTTTAACTATTCTTCAACGTTCCAACTATTTTTGCTCAGATTAAAGTACAAAGCAGTGAAAATCATTAATAGGCAATCGTTCGGTGGACGGAATTGCACAAAACGCGTGATCGCACCGGCTAGCCTGGTGCGCGTTGCTATTTATTTTCATTTTCTTGCTTGTATTTGTTAACATTTTTTGGGACCTCACATGTGTGTGTGTCTGCAGATGTATGAGTGTTTGCGTTATGCTGTGTCACTCCAGTGTATCTGCTGCGAGTGCTGCACTTCACTCCGAAAACAAATTTTATTTTAAAGAAGTAGAATAGACGACACCAGAAGGAAAGACGCCAGAGGCGAGTTCAGCCGGCAGCAGCAAACCACTGCTCCACTCCAACAACTGAAGTAATTCGAATCAGTCTCACTTCTAACCATATCACTTTTATATTGTGAGGCCAACTTGAGTCCCGGTGTGGGAAATCTGCATTTCAAATAGGAGCGTAAGCCAACCGGGGTAAGGAGAAAGGGATTGGCTATCTTCGTTCCCTATTCCTCATCTTGTTCCTTT